CATCTGTCTGAGGGTGGTAGGTTGTACTTCTCTTCAGAACTGCCCTGTAAACGAAATAACTCCCTTCAAAAGTGGCTGAGGAAAACCTAGTCCTTGTTTAACACAATGGCTTATGGAAATCCATGCAAGCGCACCACTTATCGTATGAAAACAGTAGCTGCAGTTGCCGTAGTATAAGGGTGCTTCAAAGGGATGAAGTGTGTATATTTACTCAGACAATTCACTACTCTAGTATTCACCGAAAACCTCTCCGATCGTGGCAACCCCTCGATGAAATCCATCGTCACATCCTCCCACACCCTCTCCAGTAGGGTTAGAGGCTATATAATCCTGCTCGCAGCATGGCTAAGTACTTTTTCCTTTGGCACACATCGCATCTAGCTACCTAGTCCTCTACATCGTGGCACATTCCCACCTAGTATAATTTTGCTGATAACCGATTGTAGATTTTTTGAGCTCTTGAATGTCCTCCAACTGTACTGCCATGAAACTCCTGTATAAGCTTGGAGATGTATCTCAATCCTCTAGGTAGAATAAATCTCCCCTGATGTAGCAGCTAGACTCCGTGAGTTCTAAAAGTTGAAATGCATCACTAAAAACTCATAATGACCCTCATGAGTTCTAAAAATTATTTTTTGCACATCCCCTAGCTTCATACTGATCTGGTGGTACCATGATTTCAAGTCAATCTTTGAGAAGATAATCACTCCAAATAGTTCATCCAAAAGGTCATCAATCACAGGAATAAGAAACTTGCCTAATATAGTTTTCTTGTTTAAGGCTCTATAATCCACGCAAAACCTCCAACCGCAATCCTTTTTCACTAGTAAAACAGGGCTGGAAAAGGGGCTCACACTGGGTTTAATAATCCCTGCCTCCAGCATCTCTCTAATGAGCCTCTCTATCTCATCCTTCTGAATCTGCAGGCATTGGTAAGGATGAACACTAATAGGAGAAGCTCCCTCCTTCAAGGTAATCACAAGCTAGTGCTCTCGATATGGCGGTAATCCATTAGGATGCTAAAAAATGTCAGAAAATTACTACAGAAGTTAATGTACACACTTAGGGACCTTATCCACCTATAAATCTCGGACCCCCTCCAAACTCCACAACTCTACCAAAGAGCCCAGTCCTGCTCCCTGTACCACCTTGATCATGGTTTTGAGTGAAACTATAGTTCTGTATAGGCTGGCATCCCCTCGCAGCACCACCTTCCCTTCAATATATACTTCCATAGTCAAAGACTTCCAGTCCACCTCTATCCCTCTAATCGTCTGCAACCAGTTCATCCATGTGATTATATCAGTGCTTCCCAATTTCAAGGGAAGAAAATCTTTCACTATCTGTATACCTTGGAGTGTCAGCACCAACCCTCTGCAAATTCCTCCTCTTCTCTACCTTTCTATGTTCCAATCATGACTTCAAAGCTCCCTGTATCTACTAACTTCAATCCCAACTGATCCACAACCAAGATGGAGATATAAGTAGCCCCATTATCCAGCAAGAACACCATTGGTTGCTCCCCAATTTGCCCCCCTCAACTTCATGGTGTGATTTAGGATAAATCCGACCACGGAGTTCAGAGAAACCTCCACCAAGTCTAGGTGTAACTGCTCCATTTCCCCTATGACCTCCTCTAGCTTGTCCCCGCTCCAATCTTCCCCTTCACAGACCATCAAGACTTAAAGGCGGCTCGATTCTTAAACTTATGTACCAGTGCAAATCTCTCATCACACCTAAAGCAAAACCCTTTGCATGTATATCCTGCACCTCCACTTATGTAAGGCGTTTGAAATTGTCTACCGGGCAAACTCCAGTGCTCTTCTCCTTCGGTGCTTCCCTCTGAACCAACACCGTCAGAGTCCTCGATGCCATGGTCATGGAGGTATTCCTGTAAGCCCCTCCCATGGTGTTTCCCCGACTGGCCTTTTCCCTCTGATGTTTCTCTTCTACCCTTTGCTCCAATTCCATAATCTCCCTCAACCCCCTAAGCCTCAACACCCTGAGCTCTACTCGTATGTCTTCCTTAATGCCCTTCATGAAACTTTCCTCCAAACCTTCTCCAAAAATTCCTCTCAGCATACCCGACAACAACTCAAATTTCTCCCGATACTCCATGAATGTCCCTCCTGAGTTAAGGCATAAAACTGATCGTGGAGGTCTTTTTCAAGGATGGCGCGAAAACATTTCAACAAAGAATCTTTAAATTCTCCACATTAATAGATCGGATATCTAACTTCTCTCCTTTGAAACCAAGCTAAGGCTTTACCCTCCAAACATAGCCCCATCACCATGAGTTTTTCCCCTTCCGTCGGCCCATTGATAGCATCCTTGAGCATCTTTCCCTTCAAAAATAAGTATTTTTAGCTTTCTTAATCCAGCCTTCATACCCCAATTGTTTCTTCCTCCATTTGTTCTCTCGTGTTGTGATGGTGCGATTCTCTCCCTTCCTCCCTTGGCTGATTAGGAACCCATGGTTCGACCCAACCATTGCTTCCTCTGGTTCACATTCCCTCCTGCCTGGGTGGTCTCCAAAAGGGTTCGACCTCCCCTCTTCTTGCTGACCTTTCTTTGGGATACCCTTATGCACCTCCCATCAGAACCCCTCGGGATGATCCTTGAGGGAAAACACTCGCCACTTCATCATCGTCCTCCTGAACTTCCTTTCCCTTTGGATCAGCCCTACGAATAGTCGGTGAAGCCTTCAACTGCATCTCGATCAATTTATCATCATGGCTTCCATGTTATCAAATCGGTTTTCAATGGATGAAAGCCTTCCTTCCACAGTTGTGAACTTCCCCTCCAACAACAACAACAACATCAAGCCTTTGTCCCACTACGTGAGGTCGGCTACATGAATCCTTTTTCGCCATTATGTCATGTTAAAAGTCAAATTCTCATTTAAATCTAATAAATAAATATTTACAATGAGAGAGCCACAATTGTGAACTTCCCCTACATCCCAGAATATTTCTCCTCCATCTCGACCCTGAGTTATTCCATCTCACATTTCAATGCATTCATCTTCTTTGCTGCCATTTATCTTGCTCTGATACCATTTTGATATGCCTTGGGAGCAAAATCAGCAAGAAAACAGAAGAAAAACTGCAAAAAATTTGAGAAACGATGGCTGGTTTTGGTATTAAAACTTCAACACGAAAACAAGATAAAATTATCTACAATAAGAGAGGTAGATCGACTCTCTCAAACCACCTAGACGCCGCTAGGAAGCCCTCAAAAGAAGAAAACTACAGCAAGAGATCAAATCACACATTAATCCCATAAACCCCAGAAACAGCCCTAAATAAGCTCTCTTAATTCCCCACAAAATAACCCACTTGCCTTATTTAATTCCCTCCCCTATTTTGAATTTAAATCCCTCATTAATTCCTTCCTTAATCCTCCTTACATATGAAATCATAGGTTTGAAGGGCCCCACAAAGGGGTTGAAATCCCTGCTGTTTCTTCCGCCCCTTCCGCTCGGTTTTGTTGGTCTAGCTTTTGCAGGACCGACTAGCTGAGCTGGCCGCCCCCTTCCGTACTGTGATATGGTTGAACGTTTGGCCACAAATATATAAAAGATAGCAAACGAGTAGATTGGCCAACAGTGAGTCAATGAGCAGTGAGGTCACGGGTTCAATTCCAAAGGAGTGATACAATAGTCAATAATCCACAAAAACATAAATTTAAGTCACTGCCGCATCCATAAAGGTTTGTACATGCATATGCGAATAACTTAACTTGATTATAATGATTATACTGGAATTTATTTTAAAATGTCAGATTACTTGAGTATTGTCCTCTTGAGGTGGACTTGTCTCCTCTCATGAGTAGAGCTGTTCTAACATTTTTATTATGCCCACCATATTCTAAGACCGTAATAGACAAGATCGCGGGGACAAGTTTCATCATTTTTCATATTGATTTACCAGCAATAAGCAAATGTTAGACATAATGATAGTTGAACTAGACAGCATAAAAAGTTCATATTACTCAAATATAACACCAATCAATACCATCAAATATGCTCATAAACAACCAGTATAGAAAGTTATAGATAGTTTCAAAATCTTACATAAAAAACACAAATCCCTTCTCAAGCAATTGAAACTATCAATCAAGGAACTTTCTATGCATCCAAAGCTCTACTAAATACTGGAAATTGCATGAAGTTAGGTTGCTGTTAGTTTTAATGATATTAAAGAGTAATGGTCATGATATATGGTTGAGAGCCATCAGATTGAAATTTGAACTTGAGAAATACTGTAATTCTCCTCTTAAGGGGAGCAAAGCTCATCTCATAATATAGATATATGCTTTTTTAAGTGAAATCAATGGGCTTGACAAATATTGTTCATCATAAAAAAATTTATGCTTTAAATAAGTACTATGCAATGTCAATTGCGGAAAATTTTAAATGAGTACTATGCAGTCAGAAGCAATGATTTTTGGTCTGGAACAAACTTTCGAATATAGCCAAAAATCAAGTTGAAACTACAAATCTAGTAGTCCCTATCCAAAACTCTTGAAACCAAAACTTCTTAGTGGGTGGCCAAACATATATTAAAACTAACAATTAAAATCTTAGCATACAAAATATATTTTATTCAAACAATTGAGTGAAACCTAATAAATACAACAATAAGTTTATTTTAAATTCTTTAACAAACCCGTACTTTAAGATGACCACCTAATAAAGAGTTATAGGAAATAATAAACAACAATTCAAATAAATGAAAAAAAAAAGGTTAGACCGACAAATATTTGTCAATCCATCATAATGAATTACAGCCTAATTTTACAAATTCACCGCCATTTAGCCACAAATAAACAGCACAAGAAACTCTCACATTAATGACAATAAGCATCATCAAGAAAAAAATATAAAATATTTTTTCAGCATAAAATAGTTGAGAATTATTCTATGTAACATGCTCATAAACTAGTAGAAGGTCCTTACATCTAATTCATGCCATATTATAGACAATACAAATGGCGATTTAGGTACCTTTCGTGAGCACATCCACTTCTCCAGTATCTTGCCTCTCGTGAACCTGGATTTATAACCAAAAAGACACATGTAAAGATTATTAAAAAAATAATGAAATAATAGGCTTTTTCACGAGTAAAATAAAAATCAAAGAATTTTTCTCAACTAAAAAACTGAAAAGACAACATAAATTAAAATACAAAGGTACTTGCTTTCTGTTTGGTTTCGAAAAGATGATTAAAAAAGCAACAACAAACAACAACAACATCAAGCCTTTATCCCTACATGAATCCTTTTTCTCCATTGTGTCCTATTAAAGGTCAAATTCTCGTTTAAATCTAATAAAGAAAGGTCATTCCTAATATTTTCTAACAAAGTCTTTTTAGGTCTGGTTCTACCTATCTTAACATAAGTCAAATATAATACCTCTACTTTCCTAACTGGATCATCGGAAGGCCGCCGTTTTATGTGATCAAATCATCTAAGACGACTCTCTCTAATCTTATCTTCTACTTGAGCTACTCCAACCTTTTCACGTATATGCTCATTTCGTATCCTATCTCTAAGGATAAAGCCACTCATCCACCTGAGCATCCTCATCTCTGTCACACTTAACTTGGTATTATGCTTCTCTTTTAATGGCCAACATTCGGCACCATAAAGCATTGCAGACCTCACCACCATCTTATAGAATTTTCCCTTAAGTTTGAGGGGTACTTTTCTATCACACAGCAAGACCGATGCATTCCTCCACTTCAACCATCCAACTTGAATTTTGCTGATAATATCCCCATCTATTTCACCATCACTTTGAACAATAGATCCAAGATATCTAAAACGTGTACTCTTATTAATGACTTGATCACCCAAAGTCACAATCCCCTCACTAGGTCTACTACTACTAAAATTACACTCCATCTATTTCGTTTTAGATCTACTCAAGCGAAAACCTTTAGACTCTAAGGTTGACCTCCATAATTCAAGTTTACCTTCAACTCCCTCTCTAGTCTTATCAACAAGAAGAATATCATCAGCAAAAAGCATACACTAAGGTACATCCTCTTGCAAATGTCTAGTGAGAACAACCATGACTAAAGCAAAAAGATATGGACTTAAGGCTGATTAAAAAAGCAATGAGACAAAAGAATTTTGAACAGAAAAATAAGAACCAAAGAACTTCCCACAAATAGAAACTAAAAAGACAAAAGAGATTCAACTACAATGGTATTTGCTTGGACAAGAAATTAAAACATGGCCAAGCCGAAAAATAAGAGGCTTGCAATATTGATTCCATTAATCAAAGAGTTAGTCAAATAATGCAAGGAATATTTACCAATGTGTGCAAAAAATAAGATTCCAAAGAAGAGCTAGAACAGGAAATTCAGATCCAAGCTTCAAATACCAAGCATTCAAGCCTAATGCTGATTCAATCAATGACACGGCAAGAATAAAAAGTTAAATAGAAGATGCAAAGCCTAGCTAGAGCTCAACCAGGAAAACAAATAGCACATTAAACCAAGAATTTCAGATGTCGTGCTGAGGACCCAAAGAAATCCACGCCTGTTAAGATGAGGGGTCAAGGATCTTTTCAAGAAACAAAATCAACTTGCATGAACTTATAATAAAGCAACAGAAATACATTTGTAAGTTAAGAAAAATTAAATGATAAGTTCAACACCTTCCCATACCTTTTAGACAAATGGGGCGCCTTTAATTTCACCACTGGACACTGGTAATTGCTTGGTGTCTTCAATTTTTCATATACAGATCACAATTTGTACCTTACCCTTTTCTTCGCCTTTTATCCTTTCTTCTACTACCACCTTCGTTTTTTTTTTTTAAATTCAATCCAGCATAAATCTCAACCATAAAGCAAAAAAAGAGGGGAACTAGTAGTTGGTGGATAAAAAATGGAGGAAGCTAAGAAGAATCAAAGAATAAGTAAAAGGCAAAAGAGGTCATCATCCAACCAATTAAATCAGAGAAAAAGAATAAGGGCAAAAAAAAAGAGGATGACTATTTTGGAAAATATCTCATTCAGACTCATAATCACCATTAGCATTGTACCAATCATCTGGGGGGTAAGTTTTATGGATTCTCCTCAAGTCATTCATGGTTGGCAACAATAATCAAGAGCTATCAGAGTGAAAGCATAAATCTTCAACATACATTAAGATTTAATTGCATTAAAATTACAGACTGTTTATAAAACTTCTAGGTTTAAAGCTGAGAAAGTAAACAAGAAACAGAGAACTCTAAGATTCAAGAACAAGTTACATAAATTGAAATTAAGATAATACCTTGATCACACGATGAACGATTGGAATCTCACGTCCCTGCATAGGTGCAAGCCCGATTAGAATCATGACAGTGCACTGGTCTCTTACCCCATAAAGCACCAAAAAATTATCATGAAATTGAAAAAGTTCGATGAGATATCAAAAACAAAAATCAAACTGTGGATAATTAATAGCCTCTATTGCCTTAAGAAGCATAAAGCCATCTAACATAAAGTTTATTTTTATTAATCATTAGTTTACTTATTTACAAAGTACTGATCATAACATAAGACTGTCACTCAGATATATGCTCGTGAATTTAAATTTCCACATGATGCAATATGCAAATAATTAAACCACCAAAGCTCGAGCACACTCTGAGGCTAATACTATAATCACACTATCTTGTCCTATACCATACCCTGAAAAATCACTCCAGACTGAATAAGTAATCCATGCCAAGACCAATTAGAAATTAAAATTTGAACCACCAATACTAGAGGTACTCACAATCAATATATATTCAAAAGGATACAAATCTCAACAAATAACGTTCTACCATATTTCAAGAAAAAGGTAAATGTAGCTATTTATGTTTGCTTGGCTACAGACCATCGGTAACAAATAAAGTTTCAGATTTTGTTCACTTCTGCATAACATGCAACTATCTTTAGGCTTTGTTTGAGAAAGTTTTTTTTGCTAGTTTTTAAAGCAACTTTTTCATACAAAACTTGTTTTAGAAAACAGTAAGAAATTTGTTCCAAATGGTACGCCTTTTTTTCTGTTTTGTAAAGCTGCTTTTTAGTACAAAAATCTGTTAAAAATAGAGAAAAAAATATTAGTCTAAAGATGTCCCAAACGAAGCCTTAGTATGTATTAAAACTCAAAATAGAGTAACTTGGCCTGCTTGCATAGAAAATTGCTGCAATCCACGTGATTTAAACATATATATGCTTGAAAGGACTCCATGTAAAGAAACAAACACCATCTCATAAGTCATTTCATATGGCAAAAAAGAAGACACGAAAAGGCATCATGCCTTCTACATGCATTTGTTTGTGATATTGTAATATGCAGACATCTCGGGGGTGAACGTCTTAAAAGCATAGGGAGATCAAAACCATCATCAAGGAGTAGTCGGCCAAGGCAATTTCCTTGCTTTTAAATGAAAAAAACGTGATGTAAATGGCTCATTCCACTACTCCACATGGCAAGGGAAGTTGGTGCGGCTTAATTTATACTCCATTGCCACTATAAGTCTCCGATCTCCAACAAAAAAAATAAAAAAGTCACCAATCTCCAGTCTCATATTAAAAAAAGGTCTCCAATCTTATCTTTAAAAAAAAGTATCCAATCATATCTGATCCTTTCACCAAACTCTTGAACTATTTTAAGCCCTTCCTCCTAACCTAAAACATTCTCAAACCCCTGCTTAAATTCATTTCCTAGTCGGCCAAATAATCTCCAATCTTAGGATATTTTCTAGGATTCACTAGTTCTACCTCACACCCTCATTTTACATCTTCAAATTACATCCACACAGACCCTAAACATATCCTCATCATTTACCACCTTCATTAACATCTGCATCCACAACTTAAACTTCTTGGACAGCCACTATTAGTCCCCCATCGTTAGAATGTTTCTAGCCATTTCAACCCAATTTTTAAATCTAGTAAGGATCACTATTTATTCTAATATTTTCAAGAGTACATACTCATATATGCAAAAGACTTCTCTCTAGTATATGCTTAAATTGGCATATATCAAAGAGACTGTAGGGAGCCAAAGGTCATATATTCAAAGAGAAAAAACAAAATAAGTATTTATCCTTCAAACCTCTTGAAATTAATTTACCGATGTAATCAAAAATTTGGGAAGGGACCCAAATTTTTTATCACAAAAAAACAACTCTTTCTAGATAATAAAAACTTACATGAACTCACAAAAACTAGACAAATTAGACAGTTTAAGACTTTCAAAACAAAACACGAACTCCACTTTAAAAGACTTACAAACTTTGGAAATAAAACGACACCTTACAACTCTTACAAACGACTCAAACAAGAGAAACACCTAAAGTTGCATTAGAAGAAGGATACAGGTGGAATGAAACTTGCGGAGAGACGAAAGAGGTTAGAAGCCCGAGAAGAAAGAGGAGAAGCTTGCAAGCTTTCCTAGAAGATGAGTAGAAGAGATGGAACAAGCTCGCAAGCTTTTCCAACAAAACCCTCAGGTTTACATCTCCAAAAATAACTCACATATCCATCTAAAACATCCCAAAACAACTCCTATTTATAAGACCAAAGAGGGCAGCCAAACAGCCCTTTAAAACCACTAATTAATCTCATTAAAATATGAAAATAGAAGGCCATAAGTCACCAAATAGAAGACCAAAAGACAGCAGGAATTCTGCAGGAAAATTGCATAGAAAACAGTGGAAAGACTCATGGAAATCTCCCCAAACAGCCACCAAACAGCAGTTCTCAAAAAGCCACCAATGAGGGCCAGCTGGCTGTCCAAAATCAGAAGCCAAACAGCCCAAAACAGCAGCTGAAAAGGCAGAAAAACTGCTGCTGATTTTCTGCACAGAAAAACAGATAAACTCCCATGGAATTCGAAGGCAAAACCAAAATTTAGGGTTTGCCCCCCCCCCCCCCCCCCTGCCTACATCAGAGTAGCATATTTCTCTCAACTTCTAGTTATTGTGTTGCATATTTTCATTACTTCTTTCACAATCATTTTATGTCTATATTATGCAATCTTTGTAATAGTTAAATGACAGCCTAAGTCACCACCGAACTGTTGGATTACATTGGATGAAAGTATCCTAAAAAGTTTATAAGATTAAGCTTAGAGATGGTACTCTCAGGGGTGACAATATATGACACACGAAAATCCAACTAAGATCCGACACAAAAATTTCGAGTTCGGGTCGTCGACCCGTGACCCATTTAACAAACGTGTTTGGTTTGGGTTGAATTTTTCGACCCGATTGATATATCAGGTCAGGTTCGTGTTAACCCGAAAACAACCTGTTTGGCCAGAAATCGTGCTTGCCCCTGCACTCGCGCTAGCGTTCCATGCTCATGCTCGCCCACTCGCGGCTCGCCCTCGCGGCCTCACCCCCTCGCCCTCCCCTTGAGACCTCACCCACTCGTATGCTCGCTACGCTCGCGGGTTAGCGGGTCGGGTCAACCTAGGTTAGGGTCGAGTCGAGGTTTGAGTTTCTAACCTATTTGTCTAATCGGGTTGGGTTCGAGTCAATTCAATTGAACACGGGTCAATTTCGGGTTGGACCCGAATCTAACCCAAAAACTCATTTTGACACCCCTAGGTACTCTTGCCCGTAATGAATGTGAGGGCGTGTTTCCCTTATAATAAGAATTAAGCGCTATGTTTCCCCTTAAAAAAAAAGATTTTGAGGGCTAATCTACTAGCAAATTACGAAGAAGCGATCAGCTAGAGAGAAGAATCATAAATGTGAATTGTGTTGAGCATGGATGTATGTCGTATATGAACAATCCATGTAAATTTTTATCGTGTAAATCTTGATTTATAGTTTAGATATGCATTCATTGCACACCTACTTGAATGTTCATGCTAATTAAAGTAGAAAAATTGTTTACTTTCTTGAATTAAGTTAATTATATCCATTGTGCTTAATAAGCATATACTTGTACTCTTAGCACAAATGTATTTGTACCACAATATCAATTTTATAGCGGCACTTGTGTTTAATGTTTGACTATATCAATTTTATAGTAGCATTGTGCTTATCTCACAAGCATGTGTGGTTTTATCACTCTATACTTGTATTTATTATTCAAACACTCAATACTTGGTTGTTTCGTTACATTTATAGGACCAACTCAATTGATAACAAAATTGTAAAGTTATATAGTTGAGTATCATATAAATCACTAATTTTATACCACATCACATCTTCTATAGCTTATCTCCTCACTTGTCAACGAGGTTATGTCATCATTATTGATAACCTTTGTTGTGCATAATCTCTATTGCTTTTGCACTGCATTGTGATTGAATGTATGAGATTTGAATTGAAAACTTAATAAGAAAATTCTAAAGTATGAAAAAAATTACAAAAGTAATTCAAACCCGCCCCCCCCCCCCCCCCCCCAAAAAAAAAAAAAAAAAAAAAAAAAAAAAATTACATAAGAAGAAGCATAACCCACAACCTATGCTTTGATATCCAATTGATAAAAAAAAATCCAACACAACCAACTACCTCAAAAGATAGAGCTAATTGAGAAGATAAAACAAAGACTATAGCAAAGCAAGAAACCATCCCAAGTTCATAGATGCACTGCGTCGGCCTTGACTCAACCATCCATAGTTGTTCTAATGCAAGTTCATGATTTAATCATCTGTAGTGAACTTATAAGAGGCATTACAGCTATTTTCTTATCCTTAATAGTCCTTTGTTGCAAACGACTCATATTTCTTCAATTAGCCCGAAATACACAGTAGAGGAAAGTGTCAGAGTATAAACTTTATTAAGATAAATTGTGATTGCGCAACTAAACAAAAGAATTCAAAAGATGAGTCCTAGATATAACCAAAATTACAAGAAAATCTCAAACTTCTAACCAAGAAAAACTACCGCTCTGTCTCATAAGCCTTTTTCACTACATTGACATCCTCTAAAATGAAGTCTTTTTCCACTACCTTAGCTTTTCAGCACCCAATTTTACAGCCATATGATTGTTCCAAATACAAATCTCTAGAATTTTTTGCCTATGAATAGGAAAATCACAAGTAGTTAACTAGTTATTGATGGGTGGTGGAGAGATGGAACCTTAATCTCTCTAATATAGCATATATGAAAACATAGACTATTAAATTATAAATAAGAAAAGGCTTTTTGTTAAAAGCACTTGTTAAGAAACATTTAAAGTGCATATGAGTTCTCAACAGAAAAATGAATGAAAAGAAAAGAACAAGTGGTCATGAAAATTTGAAAATTCGTGAAGGTGGGAGAATTGAGTGCTTCTTCTTGTTTAATATGCATTGTAAGTATAAAACTTTCCTGAGCATTTAATAATTCGTAACAAGTGCCCCTAAGGGAATCTCCAACCGAAAATCCCATTTTTCACTCCAAAATGCGGTGAACTAAAAAACGGCATGTTTCATCTTCAATCGAACTCCATTTTGCGCCCTTTGCAAAAGGTATCCGTCTTTCTCTCTTTCGCGCGTTTCTTCGGCAAATTCGGTAGAGACAGAAAAATAACGTAGGTGAACAATTCAATGCCAATATTGACGTCGCACTTTAATCCCGCAACCAAATACCGGAAGTTTTGTCGTTCGGCTGGAGCTCGAGAGCGACGCCATTCATGCGTTTGGAGTTTGGTTGGAGAAGGCCTTAGAGAACTTGTCCTTAGCAAAACCAATAAGGAAATCCCAATGTCTATTGAATTTGTGCCTACAAACTATTTCTTATAAATCAACAAAAAGAGAATAAGCAGTTTTTACTATACTAAGAATAATAAACAAAATATATATTGCAATTTATCTTACAAGCAGCTAAATAAGGAAACGGAATCCAACATAGTTGGTATTTGTATAATTAAAAGACTAAAACACATCCAAAATATTCACAATAATATAAATAGTAGCAATAGTTCCATAGATCTCCATCCCGCAGAGCTCACATTAACCATACAAATAACATAGTCTTCCTTCCAATAGAAAGACTATAACATTATGAATCCTCATTTTTCACTCGCTCATGTTAAGTGCCTCATGAGATCTTAAAATATATTTATTGTAAATATTTTGAGCAACTTCTAACCATGCTACAGTAGATCTATCCCTTCTCCTATTTAATCCTTTGATAACAATTTATCTATGAAAATAATTGGTTCATTTTCTATAGTTCATTGTAAATGTCGAACAGATATATTAACAGCAAATTGTTTTGCGCATCTTATAAGCACGTTACATTAGGATGCCTTTCTCCTTTTTCACACTTAAATAATAATTTTATCTACACATCTAATAGGTGCTTATCGACACTTTATTGTACATGTCAAAATCACCTGTCTATTTTCAATTATCGCATATTCGATACATATCACTCTAGTTATTCATTTAATATAATCATTCACTAATTTATTCTTCCTAGTCTTGTCACACATACATCTTAGCATCCTCATTTTTGTTATACTCAACTTCGCTTATCAACAATTTTTTCACTGCCTAACACTCAGATTATTACATGTTATAGAAAGGTTTTTTTTCAAATGTAAAATGAATCTAAATTTGAAATGAACCTCTACAAATTCAAAATAACTCATTATGCTAATAATGGAAGTTTAAGAAAGATGCCCAGTTAGTGTAGACATGTTATGTTACGATATGCTCTTCACATGCCAATTGCTTCAATGTAACCAGAAAAGCATTTTTTTAAGATGGCGTATGAAGTAAAAAGTGGTGCAATATGGTATGGGTAAAAAATAAGCAACTTGGGCAAATAACAAAGCACGTGAAGAATAAATAGCAATCATTAGTGAAGCAAACTTTTTTTTGCACACAGGTATACAACAATTGAATCCATTGCCAAAAGAAATAAGATTAAAAAAGTCAAATCATTCTCAAATACAAGGTAAAAATTACAATAAAGGGAAAATTGCATTACACTTATGTATAAAACTATACGCCACAATAAATAATAAATAAATTCAGATTAATGGTGAATGTAACTCCACTGCATAAAAGAACCATAAGATGACTTACATCAATATTAAACACAACAATTTCTCCAGCACGAATTGGTTCTTTGCTCATGTGCAGAAACAGAATATCGCCCTGCAGCAACATATAGTTTATTCAATTACAAAAATCCAGAGCAATTACACTGATGAAGGGAAACGGATGAAGCCTTACTACATAACCAAACATGCAAACAATACTTCTTTTTTTTTTTTTTGAAAATATTCAAATAATACTTAAATTGATTATTTCAGCAGTTATTCAAAATCAACAATTATTTTGCCTGAGAACATCACTTCACCAAGAACATTCTCAATCAGACTGGCAATTACCAATTCAATCAAGATTCAAGAAAGTTTCCGCTCAAGCAAGTTTCAAATCTCCATCCATACAACGCAATTCAATTTGATTAATACATAGTTGATGTAGGCAGCAGCAATAATAAACTAAACAAAGAAATCAATTATCATGACTATATTCCCCACAGAACCTGGAACAATTATTACGTCCTCCAACCGGATGCAGAGAAGCATCCGGTCCAGACTGGCAATTACCAATTCAATCAAGATTCAAGAAAGTTTCCGCTCAAGCAAGTTTCAAATCTCCATCCATACAACGCAATTCAATTTGATTAATACATAGTTGATGTAGGCAGCAGCAATAATAAACTAAACCAAAGAAATCAATTATCATGACTATATTCCCCACAGAACCTGACACTTATAGCCTTTTTTTAAGCACCTTTATCTAAGTGCAGGATCAATATTTTACATCTTCTAAAAGAATTACTATGACTTCGTTTGGAACAAATTTTTATTGCTTTTTAAAATAATTTTTTTGTACTAAAACTATGTTTTGAGAAGCAATAAAAAAGTCATCCCAAACGAAGCCTATGTCTTCCTAATTTTCGTTGCATACATGAATGCTAAGCATGGAGTGACACTTAAATGCATCTTCTATAAGAGAATGAAATTTACTGAAGTAATTGATCGGACATATCCATCCCTCTTTCAGAAGTGTGAATATTTTATCAGAAGAGTCAATATAATAGCAAAATAGAAACAAGGTGAAACTCTGGGGACAATCTTTGATAATAATGAATAGTTTCTTCAAAAGAACAGGTGAGACCAATTCTGCCATTCGAGTTAAGTATAGGCCGCTGATTATATTGCTGGCACTCTCTGTTGCCAGACTCCCATGGGATAACCCTTCTCACTTATATAATTAAGCCTCTAAAATCCATACTAACGCTAAAAAATCATTTGGGATTTCCCCAAAATAAAATGTCAGCCATTCGATAAATTTATTGACTCCAATGCCTAGATCTCCATATATTTAACCTAACTCTCATTTAAAATATTCTTCCACATTCAACAAACTAAATAAATAGTATTAGTTTTTTACTTCGTTGCAATCCTTTAATAATTATTTTTCGTTGACTTACTATGATAATGCCACCCTTTATGATTGTTGATGTGTAAGAGTTCATATACTTCAATTAAGAAAAGAATGGGTTACATATTTCAATCAAATTCACTCTCTTAATACTTCAATTTATTTTTAAATCAGCACTCCATATGGTATTTATGCACTCGAGAAAAAATTTGATAGATGAGTTAGCCTAAACTATTTTTATCAATTGATAATATTATGCAAATGCCAGAGTTTAGAAAATGATAGTTCTAATTTATTATCAATTGATTCTATTCAGATTTTTAATATATATAATGTATTTTTTAATATCTTTAAAATAAGATCAATGTTGTAAATATGACTAATATATAATGTGCAAAGTCTTTAACATCAATTATTATTTCTCATTTGATAATATTTTAGATGCTTATAATTCTTTAAAATATTTTTCAACAACAACAACATTAAGCCTTTGTCCCACTACGTGGGTCGGCTACATGAATCATTTTTCACCATTGAGTTCTGTTAAAATGTTTTTATATAATATTTTTTCTCATCATGAAATAATTTAAAACAAATATAGCCAAAATTTAACGCGTGCATTTTTACTGGTTTAATAAAAAATTTGTTTGAAAGAACTTTTTAATCCTTACATCACAACGCATTAATATGTTATGGCTATGAATTTGCTCATCAAATCAACCAGTACATTGCAAATACTTAGGCATAAAAAAGAGAGAAGATAATAAAGGGGTGAAATCTGAATGAAGATTATGCATGATACTATAACAATCGACCTCACAAGTAACATTACAGTTCATGCTTCAGCTTAAATGCATGAGGCAAAGACATAACATGCTTTAATCATCTGATTTATGAGCTTTGAAATCACCTTATCCAAAATTAGTAAGAAATTACTTTGTCAGGAATATGCTTTAAATGCTTCACATTTCCTATTTATCGGTCATCTTATAACAAACAAATGCTTATTTTTTCAAACGAAAGAATATTCGGTATGAAAATTTGATAAAGCCAAAGGAAAATGATTATATGTGAAAAAATGAGAATATTAAGATGAATACAACAATAACAGCATCAAGCCTTTATCCCACTACATGGGGTTGGCTGCATGAATCATTTTTCTCCATTGTGTCATATTAAGAGTTAAATTCTCATTTAAATCTAATAAAGAATGTCATTTCTAATATTTTCTAACCAAGTCTTTTTAGGTGTTCCTCTACCTTTCTTAACATAAGTCAAATCTAATACATCAACTTCCCTAACCGAGTCATCAAAAGGCCGCCATTTTATGTGACCAAACCATCAATATAAATGAGAATGTTAAAATCTATTATTGTCATGTCTAACATTATACTAATATATGAATATTTAATAAAGTTGAAATAATATGATTTAATGAGATAGAAAAAGAATATTAAGATGGATGTATGGTTAAAAAAATTAAAAAGTTTGCAATCAATTATATTTAAGAGATTTTGAAAAGCAGATAATATGACAATATATATAATGCAAACTTAATTTTTTTAGGCATGTTAAACATAGAGCATATAGCAGACCCCGCATAGTGGGATAAAGGCTTGATGTTGTTGTTGTTGTTGTTAAAAATAGAGCATAATGTATATCAATATTGTGGCAGACAGCTAAAAATCATGTATAGGCAAGGAAAGTAGAAAGATTAAAAGTGACTTCACCACATGTCATGAAGAAAATACTTGCAAGAACCATGAGGGCTCAAATAGGATAGAGAAGGATTCCGAAAGTTGATCCAAATAGTTGAGATAAAGGGTACATATGATGAATAAGGCTAATTATAACGATGACATCATTATCATCATTGTTAGTTTATCCCAACTATTTGGGGTTGACAATTACCATAATGAAATGGTGATGTAATAAAAATTTAAAAATGCATGAATTTAAACAGCTTGTTGATCATTATTACCTTGTAGTTACCATGCTATAGTTCTATACAGTACAATGATTTCGAATAAGAGCATACACAATATACACGTGAAATTATACCTTACATCTATGAAATTCTAATTCGTGGTGTGGATAGTACCAATTACAGTGGCAAAGTCAAGCATCAATAATGACAATCTTGATACGATCTTGACCATTAAGTGTTGATGATGTATTTGTAAGAATAACAATTAAATGTTGCCGGATACATTTTATATTACTATATCATTACACGTTATACAAACAATCTGAACATATTGCCCCTTAAAAGAACATAAATATAACTATGTTAAAAGGGAAAATGTTAACATTAACTTAACATAAAGTTATTTAATCAAAAATGATGAATGCAAAATAAAGAAAAAGTGATAAAATGCGCCTCAAGTATGAGGCATCACATTAGTTTCCTGAAAGCATATCAGCAGCCTGTTGTGACAAAATTCCATCAACAATCCCGCGCCATGGTATGGCTCTAATGGCTTTTCCAACACTTTGTGCAGGAAGAATTATCATAATACCTTGGAAAAACAAGTGCTCCTTATGTGCATGAAAGAAATTTAAGAGAAACAGAGAACCAAAGAAAAATTTTCTCCAAAAGGAAATTGTAATAAAGCATATAGAGAACATGATTTTGGCTACAATGCATAGAGAAGAGACTAAAAATTTTTCTTGCCACATGGGATCCACCATATTTATAAATGAGAAAAAAAAATTGTGTGGCGTGGAATATTTCATCCATTTAACCAAATGCATTGATTTAGATGAGCATCAAATCGCTATTATGGATACCAGCAATTCTTTGTACTTAAAATGATAAGAGGCCCTTCATCAAGCATATAAATATCCAATGAAAGAATGCTTGAGTGCATGCTTGAGATATTTTCAAGAAACTTGGCATGGGTTCCTTTGTCTTCAAAAAAAGCTATTCTCTTTTCAAATAGTTAAATTAATTTTAATATAAGGAACTTAAGTCTCCACACCCCTAGACATACTTCCATTAACTTTAAAAATGCCATAAGAGAAAGTCCTTGTTTGAGTTAATAAATAGCATCAATATAAAGATCCATATGAATCAAAATTAAAAACTAATAAAAACAATGATCTAACATACACTAGTTAAATAGCATCCTAATGCAAATTTTCATACAAAATAGTACATTTGGTTTGAATTCAAATGTCCACCCAAAAAATTCATTTCTCATCGCTACAAAGGGTTGGGTTATAATTTTCATGAAAAGCAAAAAAAAACTTAATTTGATACAAATCTAAAGCCAACTCGCTCTTTATTTCAATAGTTAATGAAATATTTCAAAGAAATTTCGATCTGATTTAGTTTGATGCTTCTGCATTGGCAATATGCATAGCTCGTATGCCTCTTATATCAAATTGCATCTACAATAAAACAAACTAAGAGGTTTTATAGGAGTAGAAATGTTGACGAAAATGTTGGCAACCAACATACAACAACAAAAAACCTTTATCCCACTACATGTGGTCAACTGCATGAATTATTTTTCTCTATTATGTTCTATTAAGAGTCAAATTCTCATTTAAATCTAATTAAAAAAATGTCATTGTTAATATTTTCTAACCAAGTCTTTTAAAATTTACCTCTGCCATTTTTAACATAGGCCAGATATAATGCATCCATTCTCCTAACAGGGTCATCAGAAGGTTGACGCTTTTTGTGACCAAACCATCTAAGGCGACTCTCTCTAATGTTATCTGCGACTAGGGCTACTCCAACCTTTTCACAAATATACTCATTTTGCATTTTATCTCTAAGTGTAAATCCACTCATCCACCAAAGCATCCTCATCTCAGCAGGGCTTAACTTTAATTTGTGCTTCTATTTTAATGGTCAACATTCTGTGCCATAAAGAATTGCAAGTTTCACCCCCATATTATAAAATTTTTCTTTGAGTTTGAGGGGAACTTTCCATCACACAACAGGACTGATGCCTTCGTCCATTTCAACCATCTAACTTAAATTCTACTAATAATATCTCCATCTATTTCACCATCGCTTTGAACAATAAATCCAAGATATATAAAACATGTGCTCTTTTCTATAATTTGATCACCCAATCTCACAATCCCACCACTGCTTCTATTACTACTAAGATTACACACCATGTATTCAATTTTTTATCTACTCAAACGAAAACTTCTAGACTCAGAGGTTGACTTCCATAATTCAAGTTTTTCAACAACTCCCTCTCTAGCCTTATCAATAAGAATAATATCATCAGCAAAAAGTATACACCAAGGTATGTCCTCTTTCAAATGTCTAGAAAGAGCATCGATGACCAAAGCAAAAAAGATTAAAGCTAGAAGTTGATCTTTGATGTAATACAATTAAAATAAGAAAAATTTTGGTCAAACCACCTTCTGTTTTAACACAAGTAATAGCTTTTGTATACATATTCTTAATAATTTAAAACATAAGCAATATTAATCCTTTCTTTTCTAAAACTCTCCAGAGCACTTCTCTTGGAATTTTATCATATGTTTTCTCTAAATCAATAAATATCATATGAAGATCCTCCTTCCTCTCTATACTTTTAAGTGAAACCTCTCAACAAATGTATATAGCTTCCATAGTAGACTTACCTAGCATGAATCCAAAGTGATTTTGAGAAACATTAGTATCACATCGTAAGCAATGCTTAATTACTCTCTCCCATAATTTAAATGGAATGTTAACTGAATTCTTATATGAGTAGCACGCATTTGTTCATCATTTCTATTCTTAAAACTAGAAACCAACACACTCCTCCACTCATATGACATTTTTTTATTCTTCAAAGTAATATTTAAAAACTTAGTAGGCCAACAAATTCCTAGATCTCCTAAGCATGTCCACACTATTATTCAGTCATATTTCCTTTTCACGCTTCAATTTTTTAAAAGCCTCATTAAGTTTGATTTTATTAATCAACGATAAAAATAAAAATCACTATTTTCATTTAAGGTCGCTAAAGTAAATCGCATTTTCACCATTCATTGAAAATTTTATTGAAGTATCTCATCCACCTATGTTGAATATCCTCTTCTAAGAAAAGCACTTTTTGATTTCATCCTTAATACACTTCACTTGAACTAATATTTATTTATCCTATATCTTTGTTAGGCTATTATACTTACATGTTTTGCCCCCTTAGCATCTAATCTATTATATAAATTACTAAAAGCTAATTTTTTGCATCACATATTACTATTTTTTTAATCCCTAAAAGCCCCTCTCTATATCATTTCCATTTTTTCTGAGACGTTACATTAAAACAAAATTTTGAAACAAAGTGGCTTATTTTTTATCTTTTATTGCATATTTTAAATCCACCACCAACTATTTTACTATTAGCCTATTAGGAGTTTTTCTTTTTTCTTCTCCAAGCACATACTTTATTACATTCTTAATCTCACTAGTTATTTTTCTTACATAACATTAGTTTTCTCAAAACCCAACTATTAAGACCTTGAATCTTATTCTCAAAAATATGTTTATTAGGATTTTTTAAATACCCTCACCTAATCTAGAACAACCAACATGCAAATCAAAAAAATTTGTGACTCCCCCCTTCATGATCAATTCAATGCCTTTTTTATTTTCTAAAACTCTTTTATGATTCAAATAACTCTATACATAAATTATCATGTTTTATCTGAAATTTCATCTGCCACAATAAAATAGGAACTGAAATGGCCCTAAAACACCATTCTCATAATATGATTTGCATTTTCTTCAGAGTTGCAAGGAAATTAAAATCATTTTGATTGACAACAGGTGTTGCTTTGGACAAGGACATAACATTCTACAACAAAAAGTATATTTCAACAAATCACGCTCAATCAAAATTTCATTAACAGTAACATGCAGAGCTAGCTAAACTCACCCTCTTGAACCCAGGTTCCATGCTTCCAGAGAGAACTACAACAACAGGGGACTCGCTACCTGTAACACACATAAGCCCCTTCCATATGATCAGCGCAGAAGTTACTATCATGCCTGATACATACACAGATGATAATCCATCAGTTCCCATAATCTCCATAAATTCAGAATCAACAAAGAAAATTCAAACATGATCTTTATCAATTACACTTTTTAACCTAAGAAAGGAACAGTATGAACTTATGTGCCCTTTTTCTATGACATGCAACAGCGAATGAAAATACTAAAGGAAAGAATAATTGATCGCCAAAAAATTTAGTTCAATTTTTCAATCGCTAAAATAATCTTGTAAGAAAAAACCTCAAAAATCTAAACCTTACCAATTGATCGAAATCTCAGAAGCAAAAGTGGAAGAGAAACGGAACGGACCTAGGCTGACGGCTTGTGTCAGGACCTGGCGAATATGTATAGAGCGGATGGACTCCAAGCTTTCCCCAATCCACCCCATTCTTCTGCTCTTCGTATTGCACCCACTCTCTCTATGCCTTCTTACAGATCGACCTGGCCGGCGGTGCGGCTTCGATCTCGGGCCTTAGTCCCGTATGTATAAGATTTTAACTTTACTTATTTGGTAGCAGGATTTAACCTAAATCCTGTCAAAGAGACAAAATGACAACTTAAATCCTACAGAATTGTAAATCCCGTTTCTTCTCCGTTTAGCCTTAAATCCCGTATTTTCCAAATCCAGAAGTTCGGCGGATTTACTGGATTTAGGGGACATGAAGCACGGAAGAAGGTGCGGCAACGAGCTCCCGTCGCGTTACTTCCTAGCGACGGGAAGAAGAGATGGATCAGAAAGCGGAGAGATTACCAGCGAGCTTCCGTTTCTCCTCTAACCGCAGCGGGGTCAGAAAAAAAACGAGGCGGCAGAGAAGAGATGGATCCGATCCGACAAATGGAGTCGCTGTAGGAGGCGAAGAAGCTCCCTTGTTGAGCGGAACGGCTACTAGGGCTGCCGTCTCTCCAAAAAAAAAAAATTGGCTACGGTGTCTTTCGGCCCCGATCGTTTCGCCCAAGGTATTCGATTATTTTACAAAACCCGGCAAAACCTCTAACTTAACTATTTTAATTTTAAAAATTGGTAATCAAATATTTGCTCAATTAATTATTTTTTTAGCTAAGTTATGTCAAACCTTTTAATTTTAAAATATTGGTTACATTTTTAAATTGTGTGCATATACATTTATTTAGTGGTGGAGCCTGAAATTTTATTGAGGGGACCTAAATTAAAATAGTTTTATTTACCGTCTCATTTGAAATGTTATAACAAATTAAAATAGTTCCTTGTGTTATCTCATCATCGAATCCAAGAGGAGAATGCAAATAATATGATCCTTAGTGTTTATAAGACATAAACATTTGCCACGGACGGTCTTTGTTTGGGGGCAAGAGAGGAGCAAAAGAGAAAATGAAAGCTATGCTCAAGGTCGTAAGCCGTGAGAGAGAAGCAAATGGGAAAATGAACCATTGATGCTTTTCATGTGTCCAAAAAAAATGTTGGTGACTTCTTTGGATTAATAAATAATTTTAAAATGAAGAATTACAAAAATTAGAGCAGGTTTCCTCATCGGCGAACTTGTTGCTCTGTTTAGCCACTAAAACAATCAGCTTGAAGCTCATTTAGACTTTCAGTTTAGTTTATTAGTTTAGCCAAATCCCTTAGAGAATATCTCTTGAACTTATTGATCAAAATCTCTTTTCATCATTATGTCCACAAATGGAAACTAATTCCTCCTCATCTCTTTTAATATTTTACCCCATTAGTCTCTCTCTCTCTACAGCTAAAGCATTGCATAGTTCGAGTAAAAAGTGGATTGAAGACTTGAAATGGAAAAAGCCTGAAAAAAAATGAAAGCCCGTAAGGGTTGTACCATAATAGATGCTTAAGTTCTATATGTGGGCTTATGTCATTGTTCTAAGTTTTTTTTTAGCATCCCCCCTAGTGCGCCAATGCATGTATTTATGTGAATATTATTTGAGGCAGTCGCACCTTTATGTAAAAATAATTATAAAATTATTTATAAAAATATATATTTTTTTGATATTTTATGCAACCATTATAACTATTTTCAATTATTTTTAAAATTTACTATTCTCATTTTTCGCCTTAAAAAGTTATATTAAAATTATAAATTTCTCATGCATAAAAACTATTTGAATTAACAAACTTAAATCCTGAATTATATTTGATACGTTTAAAAAATAACCTTAATTAGCATATTTGAATTAAAAAATTTTCGTATTAAACTTGGGACCATCCAAACTCTAATTATTATAAACTTACAGTTGAACTAAATGTCTTGACAAGATGGATCCAATGACACAAAAATCATTCTAATCCGAGTCAAAATGGGCTTGAATCAAGGGACTAAAGCTTATTTAGAAGCTTCAAATCATTAATGGGGTAAACAGATAACCTCCAAATATGGCATGCTTATAATCAAATTGAGCGACTCGACGAAATGAATCTAACGAGCCTAATATCACTTAATTCAGATATCATTATGGTATTTAAATATTTGATGAAAGCTCTATTATTGAATGAATCACTATGAGCGATCGGGTAGAACACTCCAAATTTATATTGGATCTTCTCCATATTTACTGAGTATGTTACTACTTAAAAACTATAAATAAACTCTTATTCTTCACATGAAGGAGGAAAGAAAAAGAGAGAAGAAGACAAAGCTCTCTAGCACTTTCCAACTATCTCCAACGTAGAAGACCACCAACTATCGCATCCGACAACCACCATCGCAATTGAGAACCAACATCATAACTCTCTGTTATCTTCAGAGTATTAACAATATTTAACTATGTTGTTTGAATAAAATTTCAAATGTGGACATCCATATCCCTACTGGGGAAATCAAACCATGTTATTGGGTATTAACAATCATATTTGATTTTTTATACTCTCTCTCTATTCTTTAACATTGAAGAAATGAGGATCTTTATATCACTTGCTACACAATGAATTTTACAACTGAGCTAGGTCCCATGATTTTTGCTCTTTTTTGGTTTCCCATGTAAAAATTTATCCGGTCTTGTTACTTTATTTGTTCGTGCTGAATCTTCATACATTACTAAGACTTTAAACACACACTCTACCGACTCAAGTTTTCTAGCACACAACAATATTAACAAACACTTCGATAGAATTTAAGAGTATATAACATCTATCATGCCAAAAAGCTTTCAAATTTTAACTTTCTTAGGAGTTAGGATTCATTTGAGAGGGTTTTGTTAATGTTTCTTAAAGTAAATTTTTAGTACAAATATTAAGATATTTGTACAAGAAAACTGTATTCAGAAGCACCAAGAAAATAATCCCAAAATAAAGCCATAATAAATCTAAAATTACAAGATTTACTAAATCCTACTTATAGCTAAAATGCTTGAGAGTAATGACAGCACTGACATGATGCGTATAATATATTGAAAACTATTTGATATGGCCATATGGGTGAGATTGAAATGCTAGATGAAGTGATGCTATGACGAACTCGAGAGGAGTTTTAGATGGATGATATAGGAATTTCGCTAGAAGTGGAGGGGTACGGTGACAAAAGTTATTCGGTGGACATTTTTATATGAGGTTTATTTCATGCTAATATCTAAAATTTTAATATTACATGTAATATTAAAATTTTAGGTGTTAGATATATAATAATATGAAATAAATTGATATGTATATAAATCCCCCTTCTTATATTTTGCCCCTTAACAATATGGGAAGCAACCAAAATAGAAGATCAAAATAGCTTTTCAATTTAAAGATAAAATGAGATAAAAAAAAAACTATTTTAAAGAGCATGTCTAATACTAAAAAAAGGAGAGATTTATATACATATCATTTTATTTCATGCTATTTATATATCTAACACCTAAAATTTTAATATTACATTTCTACCACTCATAAAATTTTAATATAAAATATATCACTCATATATTTTATTTTGTCAACCATGCCACCCTATAAAATTTAATATTTCTTTATATGCACCCATATTTATTCTATGGGTGATAAGCATGTAATATTAAATTTTTAAGTGCTAGAAATGAAAATAACATGAAATAAAGTGGTATGGATGTAAATAAAAAAAAAGTTCTTTTTTGCCCCACCAAGTAGTGAAAAAGTTCAGCTAAACAACTCTTAAATTGTAAAAATTATTATGTACACTGTCTGAATGAGTCCGGAGGCCAATCCGGACGCGCCACATCACCATTGGATAATGTGGAGCGTCTGAAACTCTGAATTGACCTCCAAACACATTTCAACATCTTGTAGAATAATCTCTCCTTAAATTGAGCTTAGGTTCTTATCATTATTATTATTTTATTCACTCTACTATTAAATGATAGAAAAATATTATAATTCCAAAATAAATAATATATATTGAAAATAAATTGTAAAGCATTATTATTGTCCCCTAATAAATTCTTATTCGTGTTGCATTCCCTGGGTTCCGTATCCGCTCGATATTACCAATCGCCGTCCCTCCAAAATTGTCGCACAAAGTCGGCGCTCAGTCTGCAAATCTCTCCACCCGCCATGTTTCCCCTCTGCCTTTCTTCCACTCCCTCGTTTCTCATCTATCTTCCGCCCCAAAACTATTTCCAAACCCGAACCCTAACTCCCTCTCCGCTCTCCTGCAACCTCCTTCGTAATCAATCGATTAATTATACAAGAACCCTCACCTACTCCCCCATCCACTCCTCCAGCGAGTCCTCCGCATCGCCCCCGCTTCTCATTGAGGATATCATTGAAAGGGATTGGTCCTTTCTCGACGTAGACGCCGTTAACTCCGACGAGGAGCGCCGGCGGAAGATCCACCGGAACATATCAGCCGCCACAATCCGAGAGGGATCTCGCGTTCTGGTGTGCATGGGGAGTGAGTGGTTTGTTGATCGGTTGGTGGAGTCGGCGCCGAGCTGCGAGCTTCTTCTGATCATCCACGAGTCGCTTTTCGCGCTGGCGATGATCAAGGAAAAGTATGACAATGTGAGGTGTTGGCAAGGAGATATCACAGCCTTACCAGAGAGGTTTTCGCGGTTTGATGCGATGTTTGTGTGCTATTTTCCTGGCATGGGCGTGCCCTTGGATCAGCTTCTCAGCTCGGTTGGCAGCCGTTGCTCTCCAGGTCTGTCCCCTTTTCTCCATAATGAATTGCTGCGTTTTTATATGGGCATTTATTCCTTAATGCATCTTCGGAATGGCCAGATCACAGATAAATTATGGGTTCTGTTTTATTATTATTGTGATATATCCAATTTCAACCTAAAGGCACTGAGGCTTGCTGGATGCCTGTGAATGAAGTTTTGAGCATACAAACAAGGATTAGACTTGATGTGCCATTCAATAGAGGCTAATGTGATTGATATTAAACAAAAGGGATGGTTAGGGTAGATGCGAGCTCACTTTGTGCCTGTTTATCGAGGAAACATTAGTCAATTGAGAAATAATCCAATGGATGGTTTCACAAGGAATTTATATTGTAAGTCTTAATGCCCTCTACAAGGGTATAACACTTCTGAGATGATAAGGCCTGCAAAATATTGCCCGGACATTCTAGCAGAGATCAACTCATAACTTGTTTGTGTGCATCCGTCCTCAAGATTTGTTTTAGACTTTCATCCGTCCTCAATATTTGTTTTAGACTTCCATCAAGCCATGTATGTTTGAGGTTTGTTGCTTGTTGGTTCTTGTTTTAGTTTAGCTTTTAAAGTTTATATGTTGGTAGCTCATGCTTATGCGTACAAGTGTTGGTTGGTGTTATGGGCCTCTTCTTGCCCTCTCTCTGTCAATGCCCAGTGCCTTCCCCCGCATGTTAAGGCACATGGGACTTTAGGTTTAGTTTTCTCATCATACAATTGAAAATAATGTTGGTTTATAAATATTAAGTGTTTCGCTTTTATCCATATGCTTAAGTTTTTTGGTTAAAAATGAGTTTGATCTTTAGTATATCTATCCTTACTCGACTACCTTTTGATTCAACCTTCCTAACTAGTGGTATGAAATTCATTACTTCTGTTATGATCAAGAGATTTTCTTGATATTTTCATGCTTTTCTTTCCTCTTCTACAATATGCCCCATTCCATCAATCTCTATCAGAAGAAGTTTCAGAGAAGATACTACATGCACATTATTACATGTGATGCAAAAAGAAACGAGCTTTTCTTAAATTGCTCCACTTTCTATGCTAGTTTGAATCAAACTGCGATGTGATTTGTTCTTTTGCGACATTTCATACTTTGAAATGAATCCATGTCAATGCTAACATTTCTTTTCTTTCCATTTGAGTGGTTTGAAAAATATGACAACTACATGTTTAAACTTGTATGTCTTTACCATTTCTGTATGCCTTACTTCTCAATTGCTTATTGCATGTCTAACATACCACAATTTTGCTTTTTTGGGAAATATACAATGAATATCTCTACCCAGAGTCCTCACCATGTTAATGGGATTCATTATCAGGAAGATTTTACTTGGAACATCTTGTCTTTCTTTGTTAAATTAACCTGATACAGCACAACATTACCAAATAAAGTCAAGCTTCGCATGCCATGCTTTTGTAGAAATGCTATTCGATGAGGGATTTCCTCTTATCATTCAACTTTTGAATGAGTTTACAAATATTTGTTTGAGCAATCCCATTCTAGGAAACTATTTCGTTCATGGATAATTAAAATGTCATTTGTCCTCATTTCGGATATCAATGTTCTTGCCAAGTAGGCGCCTTTGATGAGGTTTGAATTTAAGCATTGTGGTTTAGGAAAATATATGGTGGAGAAAATTTTCAAATTTATGTATCATATAGTTATCAAGGTGTAGGCAATTTATCAAATGAAGAGCTTTTAAAGATAAATAATGTCTTCCAAGAGGACAAAATGCTCAAAACGTTTAGCTTCAAAAGAGCAGGTGTTGGTTAAGTAGCTTTGTGTGAAGATAATATGGATTAAGAAGTTGCTGAGGCATAGCTCAGAGTTTATAGCTGTCTAAATCATTGATTATTAGGACTTCATCACCGCATTCACAAAATCCTTGCATATTTTCTTTATTAGAGGATTGTAGTGAGGATATTTTGTCTTTTGAGTCTCTAATATGTCATGAGTTCTTTATTCCATCAAATATTTGTTTTTATAGCATTATTCTTGTTGTCTATAACAAATTTAATCAACGTTTTGCTACGTTTCATTTGTTGGATCAACCGACGGTCAAGCTAGACTTTTATTTGGTTAAATTTGGATGGTATCGTTTTTAATTGTTGTGGCTTTCTTTAGTTCTTACAATCAAGCATTTCCTTTAAAGGGATTTGACTACCAAATCTTGAATTGATTGCACCTCAATTTTACTAAGTAAAAAACGGCTTTAAAAAAAAAAAAGAAAATTATTCCAAAAGGAAACTTTAAGATTCGTTTGTAACAATTTTTTTACTGTTTTCTAAAATAATTTTTTAATTAAAAAAATTTTAGATTGCTTGAAGATTCCGAATGACTTTCGGATATTTTTTATGAGTGATTTTTTACTCTGAAATTTATGTCGAACATTTTGATTCTATTATTATTATTATTATTATTAGAAATAGTCAAACCCAGGCATCCCTTTGCTTCCATTTCCTCTATATTCAGGTTGATAAGATTATTAACTAAAAAACAACTATTTCTACAGGTTGTAGATTATTAATCTGCTTTGACCAAGGAAGAGATGTAATTGAAGGGAGCCACCGTCAACTCTATCCAGATAGGGTGACTTCCGAGTTGCCTGAAAAAACTGCTTTAGAAAAAGCAGCTGCAGGTCATTCGTTTCAGATATTAGAATTTGTAGATGAACCTACCTTTTACCTTGCTGTATTAACGTTTACTGCTCAATAATTATTGTAAGGCAGTTAACACATAATGTCATTCGGAGATCAATCAGAATGCGTCACATCAGCGGTGCCGAGCCGCAGTACTGAGCACATAAGTGATGTGACGCATTTTGATTAGTCTCCGGACGGCATTCGACGTCAAACACCGTCCGACGTCCGCACATAATGATTAATGATTAAGGGTCAACTTCTCATTTAAATTTGACAAAAAATGTCATTTCTAATATTTATAATCAAGTTTTTTTAGGTCTGCATTTACCTTTTTGAACCTATGTAAATTCTATTACATCTACTCTTCTAACAGAGGTAAGGTTGATGTTTTATGGGATTAAATAATTTAAGGCAATTCTTTCTCATATTTTCGTGAAAAAAATGCGAGCGGATTGATAGATTAAGGATTCGTTTGGGACAGCTTTCATAATACCTTTTAAAATGATTTTTTAATACCAAAATTTTAAATTCAAGAAATTTTTGTATTAAAAAATTGTTGTATAAAGCATGAAGAAAGCCATCTCAAACGAAACATTAGGCTTCGTTTGGGATAGTTATCTTACTGTTTCTTAAAATAATTTTCTAATAAAAAAAATTACAGCTATCTTACTGTTTCTTAAAACAATTTTCTAGTAAAAAAATTAAAGTTTTAACTAAAAAATTGCTTGTAAAAAGTAATAAAAAAGTCATCCAATATCAATTCTAAATATTTAAATGTGTTAATTTTAAATGTTATGTATATAAATTCTATAATAATAATAATAATAATAATAATAATAATAAAGTTCAAGAAAAATGAGCATTTATATAATTACCCGTTTGTCAACCCAACCCCCATCCTCCACGGCCCACCTACTCATAACAGTGGCATTCCTGTAATTCTATCTGCAAATATATTCCAGCCAAAAAGGATAAGCTCCCACCTCCAATCCCCAATCTCTAGCAATCCAACCAACTCCATTTTCCCAAAATGAGCGTAGTAATCCTTGACGGCACCACCGTCCGATCCTTCGTCGGCGACGAAACCGCCTTCAACAAAAGCATCGACGGGCGCTTCGCCGCCCTCGACCTCAACGGCGACGGTGTCCTCTCTCGCTCCGAGCTCCGTCGCGCCCTCGAAACTTTTCGGCTCACCGAAACTGATTTCGGCCTCGACACCGTTACGCCTTCGGATCAGATATCAGCCCTCTACGATTCCATCTTTGAACAGTTCGATATCGACCAGAACGGCACCGTCGATCTCGCCGAGTTCCGATCCGAGATGAAGAAGATACTCCTCGCCATCGCCGATGGACTTGGCACTTCTCCCGTTCAGATTGCGCTAGAGGCGGACGAGGATGGAGGGCTTAGCTTGCTTCAGGAAGCAGCGGATCTTGAGGCCTCGAAGATCGCCGGCGGCCAGCGTAATTAGGTAGATTATGGCGTGCTTTAGAAGCTATAAGCATATAATAATGGAGGATCAGATTCCTGATGTATTTTATATATGCTTGAGATAAGAGCTTATGCTTTTTTTTTTGTTCCAAGTTTGTGAGTTGTGCTAAACAATTATGGTATTTTCATTTTATATTATTGCATTCGCCCTAATATTATTAGGGCAGAAATAATTGAGATGAATGAGAGAGAGAGAGAGAGAGAGAGAGAGAGGTATTGTTGATCTGCGTTACATGAATATAATATAAAAATAACTTAATTAATTATAAGATTTTAAAACTTATAGTAATGCTTCATTTGAGAAATCTTTGATAATGTTTTATAAAATAAATTTTTAGTATAAAATTTTTTAATTCAAAAAAAATTTTATTTAAAAATTATTTTAAAAGACAATAAAAAAATTATCTCAAGCATAAATAAAATTTGAACCCCTATTCTTCCTTAAGAAAGGATGTTCCAATAAATAAATTTTGTTGCATCGTAGCTAAATTTTTTTTAAAAATATGAAAAAAGAAGGAGAAATATATCCCTTTAAAATTAGGAGCTTTGAATTGTAAAGATATTACTAAAAAAATATAATGAAATTATTTTGCCAAAGAGACTTACTACTTAACGCAATCAACAAAAACCTATTTGATTATAAATTTATATAAACAAACTTCAAATATAATTATGTAAAAAAGCTCTTGGAACATTATATGCAATTAACTAAACGATAAATACATGGCCAGCTAAAACTTAAATTATTTTGGGATATATTTGCACAATTTTATTCATTGCAATTTGATTACCATTCACCCTTAACAATATCAATCATTCAAATAAAAAATATTAGTTGTATAATAGTTTTAACAGCATTTCAATGATCTGATTAGAAGAATAGATATATTAAATTTGGCCTTTTAGGTAGACCTAAAAAAACTTGGTTATTATTAAATTTAAATGAAAATTTGACTCTTCTCTGGACTCAATAGAGAAATAATTTATATAACCGACCCCTACTCAAACTATTTTGTTTCACCCCCATCATTACCTATTTGTCTAACTGTTGCTAAACAATTTTTGGATATCAAACGGACCTCCCCATAGGGTAATCTTAATGTGACCGATTTATCCTATTTTGCAATCAGTTTCGCTATAGCGCCTGCTACTCAAGCTAATTGTTAACACTATAAAAATTTGATATTATTGTTAAGCAGCATCAAAAGTAAGAGAAGAGTCCAAGTTGAATGAATGTATAAGAAAAAGAAAAAAAAAAAAAAAAAAAAAAAAAAAAAAAAAAAGAAATGCTAAATGAAACCATACACAAGATTGATATAACCCACTAGACATAGTAAAGGCTGAGGAATTCTACTGGGTAAACGCTTAGCAGCCTATTACATAGTTCAACCCTTTGAGCGAAATGTGGCAAAAGGAAGGAAAATCCATGGACCGACCCCATCGTCTCCACCCCGTAGAAACTGCGAGATCGCCCCAAGGACGCCTTCGGCATCCAGGGGTCACGGACCGACCATAGACCCTGTTCAATAAGTGGAAGGCATTAGCTGTCCGCTCTCCGGTTGGGCAGTAAGGGTCTGAGAAGGACAATCACTCGTTCTTAAAACCAGCATTCTGAAGACCAAAGAGTCAGGCAGAAAAGGGGGGAGAGCTCTTTGTTACAGTTCTCCTGTAGCTAGATTTTTCAGAAGACGAAGACCACAAGAATCCTTAGAATGGTATTCCAACTCAGCACCCTTTGAGATTTTGGGCCAAGCATTCCACATATTACTATCGTAGAGTAGAGACCATTTTATAGTTTTATTGGTCTGTTGATTGGGCAGTGTAGTACCCACTCTTGCAACCATTCTACAGTCTATATTCTAACAAGCCAAATTATTGAAATCCAGAATATAAATGGCTTTTCAGCTGTAGCCTTCATCTCCCATCAGGCTTCACAAGTAATAAAAGCCATGATCTGTACACTACAAGATCTCACAAACCGCATATGCTATCAGCTACCAAGCAAAGGAGAAATTATTCTATGCAGACTCTGAACGTAGAGGATCGTCTGGATGCTGCGTATGAACTGAGTATGGACTGTATATAGCCTGCGTATTTATAGACATACAAAAAATACTCAATAAATACTCACAACTAATGATTGACTTAGTATTTGCTGCATATCTACAAATACACAATAAATACACTGTCCATACTCAGTTCATACGCAGTCCATACGTAACATCCAGACGATCCTCTACATTCGGAGTAGAATAATTTCCCCAAGCAAAGATATGCAAAGCTCTAAGCTTTCAAACAAAATGAGTTTTTCATCAATATCGTTGAAAAATGATTTTTTGAGCGCTAACTGATATAGCTTCCAATGTCAATCAAGCCATTCGTAATCTCGAAGAGAGAAATTTTTAATCTATTTATCATGTGAATGGGTAGAAGTTTGAGAAGAGCAGACTACCAAGAAGAATGTAAGCAATGGAGTAAGACCAAATCACAAAACCTACTCTTCTTGAAGTAGTGCCTGGAGAGAGCATCACATATGAAGCAAACCAGTAAATAGGTGGGCTGGCAGACAAAAATCTTGTAGCCACCTGCAAAAGGAGATATTACTCAAAAATAAGGTACAATTTTAAGAAGTTTAGAAGCTGTTTAGGATCACATTTGAGTTTTTTTTTTTATGTTTTAATATGAAATAGTATATAGATGGTGATGACCGACAACGATGGCGGCTAACCGTGGCAGTGACCTAGTGGCGGCGGGTGGTGGCGAGGATAATTTTTTTTTCTTTTAAAAAGAAAATATTGAATGAGCCTAAAAAACACAAAGTTTGTTTTGAGTGTTTTAAAAAAATATCTTCATTTAATTTAATATAAAAAATCCAAAACAATTAGCATTAATAGATGAAGGAATTTTACATGCTCCAGTGAAAGGAATAAACAAAAGAAATTCCCTAGTACAAAAAAAAAAGGAGCAATTGTATTTCAATGGCAAGCAATAGAGACTTCGATATATAGGTAAATGAAGAGGATTCTATTAGACCGGTCCAGCCGGTCCGACTGGACCGGCTCATGCGAAGTTCGGCGGAAGTCTACGCCTCCTGTAGCAGGAGCCAACCGCTCGGTCTTCACATAACCAATTTGGAAGGATTTCTTAGGGAGTTAGGAGGGAAATTTAAAAGTAGGGAAAGTTTAGAGATTTCCTTTTGATTTGTATGCATTAAATAATTTGTTTTCCTAGGGTTAGGGCCTCTTGAATTTGGGATCTCTTAGGTTTAGGTTTATTTTGGGCTCTAGCGGTATCTAGAGATTTGGGAGAGATAGATCCTCATTTCGAATAGAGGATTGTATATTGCTGTTTTTCTTCTTCTACTAGTGAATTACAAGTGTTTTTCCACAGATTTTCCAATAAAATTACTGTTTTTGCTGTTTTCCATTGGAGTTGTGTATTGTTTTTTTGCTGTTTTTACTAATAGTGTTAGGTTTTACTTGAAATATTTAAGTACTTCCTATCAAATTCTTCTGCTTTTATGAGCTAGGGAAGTACTGCATGGATATAATAAAAGGTAAAGCCAATGTGGTACATGGGAGGGGTTCATTTACTGTATTGCATATTTACCCCACTACCCAGACAGCTATTTTCATGATCTGAACCCATGACCTTCAGATCACAATGGAGTTAATTACTCATTACTTCATTGCTTGCTCCATAAAAGCCATCAATAATAGAAAAAAAAAAAAGAACCATGATGAAATTTTAATGCATCCTGCAAAAATAAAGTGTGAAAAAAAAAACATTCCTGACCTGAACGTGCATTACAAAAAATGCAATAAATGTCATGAACCCCAGATGAAGAATGAATGGGAAAACCAAGACTGAACAGTATCCTTGCTTAAATTTAATGAAAGAATCCATTTCATGCTTCGCATAATGAAACTTCTCAGAAGCGCTTGCTTTAAACGCACTTTTCCTCCTTTGTAATTTATGATTTCCTGTTTCAGAACATACATATTCTTTGATTATAAATGAGAAATAAATCAGTGGTTTACTGAGACTCTGAGAGTAACCAAAAGCAAAGATATTTCCTCGAAAAGTAATTCCTGAAATCCACCAAATGCTTAAGCAGCTTGTGAAAGCTGTGTTGGACCGCATTGTTTGCATCAAGTTTAACAGTAAAAATATTAGAAGAGGTTAGTCATACTGAAGAAGAAAGTACTCCCCAGTGCTATTGAAGCATCTATTATAAGCATCAAATACCTTTGAACTCCACAGAAGCAGAACTATTATCTGAATATATTATTTCTTGACAATTATCTTTCCCATGTGGATCTGTCATAGAATCAGAAGCCATTCTGTATGACTGAAGAGTTTGCTGCAATAAGCTTGCATAATAAATAACTGAGGCAATGGCAATAGCCAATATGGGAGATGCGAGAAGAAAATTGGGCAGCTGCTTCACTTCAAAATACCTTAAGAAGCCAACTCCCCTAATTTACAAGAGAAGCATTCAGCAAAAAAAAAAAAACAAAAACATGAAACACATACATCTCAACATGTCAGTTTAATTATTCATAGACCAACGAAGTGAAATTAAACAGAATATATTTGACATATGCATCGATATTCTTATCAATAAAACCACCAATTATCTTCAACCAATACCTTATTCAAACTCCACAGAAGAAGAACATATATTGGTGTGCTTTATACCTCAATGTTCAATTCCAAACTACCTAAATCTATTTCAAATTACCTTATCTTAAATAGATTTCACTCCAATCAATTCTATATTATAATTATTCATTGATTTACCCTTCCTAACTGTTGAAATCCAGCCGTTCCCAGTGCAAAAGATCTGAAGGACACAAAGACCAATCCGTGGGATACTCTCATGAATCACGTCAAAATGAAGGAACAAATTTAGGAAAGATTTTTTATGTATTATTTATGTATTAAATCTGCAATTTATTATTTCCTCATTAGGATATCTTGTATAGATCTATAAATAGGGAAGATTGTAATGAATAATTTCAAGCTTTTCCCTCTCGTTCCTCTCAATTTAACATGGTATCAGAGCCAACGGCCTTAATTGCCGTTGAAGAACAACGATCCTAGATCGTCGGATGAGAAAGAGAAAAGTAGAAGCTCGCATCCGAACTTGATCGCTGCAGACTCGGACGGAAGGAGCGACTCGATCGGAACTTCTGATTGGAACTTCCGATCGGAGAGGAAGGCCGAAGGAGCCTAGTCGAACAGCCACACAGGAGCCGAAGAAGAGTCTCCCGATCCAACAGAAAGGGAAAGACCGCTCGATCGCCCTGCGTGCGATTTCGACTGATCCACGCGCGCGACTTGGGAAGTCGACCGCTCGATCTTTCCTAGTCCCGATCGACGAAGGCGTTCCGATATGACTGGAAGAGAAGCCTTGCCTAGTCCCGATCGTCGAAGGCGTCCCGATCCGACCGGAAGAGAAGCCTCCTGCGTGCAAGCGGCTCCCTGCATGCGAAAGGAGCGATCGGCTTCTTCTCTGGAGCCCGACTCCTTACCTAGTCCTGATCTGAGCTTTTAAAGAGCTCGACTGGTTTGGTAAAAAAAAAAAAGAAAAGTTTTTTTTTTTGGGAAGCCTTC